AATACGGTATGTTTTTTTATAGGTGGCATCAGTGTCGTGTGCTAATTTTAGATCAAAATGGCTGCCTCCGTTGACTCTTGAAAGCACCGCATGTATCCTTATCGTGAATATGTTTATTCAGATTATCATGTTAATGCTCAAATGTGATTATTGGACGTTTTACTTACCGGCAATAGCATGGAAAGCGCGTTTCACGTCAAGTGATCTTTGGCCTGTCGGAAAAGGGATGAATCGGGTTCAGAGTCTGCAGAGTGAATCTGCCACTCTTCGGACACACCTGCCGGCTGTGGCCTTGCTGACAAAGTGACAGAGAACGACTGGGCCACTAATAGGTGAAAAGCACCACTTGCAACGAACTGAAGGAATATCAGTACTTGAATGATGGGTGGGAGACTGTGAGAACGCTGGGTGGGATGTGCAAGTTCATGGCTGATTAAATCAACAATGAAAAAAATGGTAGAACGACGAAATCTTTATCTTTCAAAGAGTTGGTCGCTATACATTTCCATAGGGTTGAAACGATCCCGAAAAGTCCTCTGAATATGTAGTCTATTTCTCTTAGAACGAATCCTACGAATGAGGCGAATCACTTCAGCCATCTTTAATGCTACAAATATTGTCTTAAGTCTAATCAGGGGCAGTCTTAGGACTTAAGATCAAATTTGGTCTTAGACTTGAGATTTTCTCAAAGATCGAGCTTCGTGATCCCCAATTTAAGACTAAATTTAGTCTTAAGTCCCAATTTTAAGACTTAAGACATAATATGGACTTAAGACACTTTCATGATCCCGGGGCCAGGTCCCTTCATCAGGTGAACTGACAGTTGGGACTATGACGTCGTCAGTACACAAGGGTGAGTACAGTATAAGTGAAGTTAAAGTGTTAATATTATACAAGCTCGGTCGATATAGTTTTACTCAGGTCAATAAAAACCGATATCGACCTCTACAAAGGTCTATAATTGTTTTATTATATAATGAAAGAGAAACGGGTTTTAACATAAACTTTTAATGCACACACTGTGCCATCTATCCGAGTGATCTGATTGGCTGAAAAGCGGGGGAAGCCCCTTCGTACGGGATTCCTTGTCTATTTTTAGTAACCCAAGTCAATATCGTAATTTATCAGAAAATTCAAGTCAATATCGTGTTTTGTAGTCAATCATGTGACGGTCTTTTGACCAATCGTGGTACAGGGAAAATGCTACCTATATAATAATACATAATGATGATAAATTCATGCTAGATAACAGAGTTGAAAGTTGCATTGGCCATTCACAATAGATTTGAAAGTTGAAATGTCAATTCACAACGACTGCTAATTACACAAAAGTTACTTGATAGCAAGCTTTCCAAAATGAATAGTAGGCTTTTTTCTATTTTTGTAAAGTTCATCAAAAGTTAATCAAGAGGTCCCACGCACTTGGCAGGTAGACACCTTGATCACGATTCATTGCCGGTTTATGTCTCCTTATCTCCACAGCCTCCTGTAGTTTTCTCCGACGCCAGTCGTTGTTATAGCTCGAAGGCACCCTGATGTCATTCAACATGATTACATGAACCGGCAACTTCCTCTCCTAGATGTTGCCCTCAAATCTACAGACAAAGGTTTCGTCACTTCTGTGTACAGGAAGCCATCTCACACGGATCAGTATATCAATTACAAATGGTCGTTGTCACCAATACCAACTGTCTAGATAAAATGAGACGAAACATAATGGGTGTGAAAACGAACGCTGTGCTCGAAAGACTGCGCCCGTTTGAAATGTAAACAAAGACAAATTCCGATTTTACACTGAGTAGCATTTTCTGAAATTTTCCAACATTCATCCGTCTATTCATTGCTTGCAATGGCTCAATACCTTTGGCATATGCATGGAAAGAGTATCGTAGCCAGAAATAGGAAATTATAAATAAAAACAATGCAATGATTATATAATTCATAAGAAATTGTCAAAGTTTCCGTGTAGCGTGACGCCATGGCTGACGCAAAATCATGCAGAACGACAACGGTAATTATCAGCATTTCTGGCTTCTTCTCTTACTTATAATGAAAACGATAAAACATATAACAGTACACAGATAGTCAGAATCATTCTGATTACTTACATCTCATATTTATGTACAAACGATCCCTGAATCAATGGAAGGGTCCTCGCAAAATCCTGTGAACCCTTGTCAGCAAGACCGCCATTTTGTAAGAAATCGGTCAACGGTAGTAGTGATGTCATACGTCAACATTGTTGTACATATTAGGCAATTTCTTTGAGGTGAAGGTCGGTTGAACAAGAGTAAACACAATCGCCCAATCCTTCCGATTACACTGTCAGTGTTATGATGTATATTTTGCGTGTAGTTCAGATATTTTTTCATGAAACTGACTTCAGTATCTACATTTAGCCTTGTTCAATATCATATCATACGTACATATAGGGTTTACTGTGTTTTATCCTTTGAAGGTTTTTGATTGTTTGAATAATATTTACATAAGAAATTGACACATTGCAGTACACTACATTCTAAACCTTTACACAAGTGTTAGAAGATCAAACGTAGCCATAACTGCAACTACTTTAGTTCCTATGATGTACAATATTCAATGCATTTGGACTAATATTGCAGTTTCATATGAACGGCGATTTAGTTCAACCTTATATTTAAAACTGATAACATTTAATGAAATTGATTTATACATGTTATGAAATGTATATGCACACATATTTAAAGGAAATGTCTTTTTCATTGCATAATTTTGTGTCGTTTTATAGACAAAACAATGATGTATGTTGATTGGCCAGGGGCGCGTTTGTCGGAAACGTTTTTTGATTCACTATCATTGTTTTCGAGAATATAATAAATTCATATTCGATTAAATAATATTGTGATGACAGGATATCAAACTCTAACTATATTTATACTAAAATTGTTTTAAAATATACATTGTATAAACCATGTCATGTCTTAATTTGGACAAATCTTACATCCATATTCTAATATATAGTTCCATATATAAAAAGCTATTTTTTTGCTTCTTTCATTGCATACTTATGAAGAGAAATAGCTACATAATCCTAAACAAACAAAATTCTTATCCTAAACAAAATATTCGGGTGTTGTGAAATATTATTTTTATTTACGTTAAATTAATGCCGAACAGGTGCGTGTGTTGCTCACAGTAAGATACACAGTCAAACCGTCTAATTGTTGATATATCCCACTGTTTAAATGGAAAAATCAGTCATTTTATGTTTTGTCTAAAGAGTGTTAAATTCTGACATAGAAGCCGAGACCTATTATACAATTAATGGAAATTAGGTGAGATATATACTAATCAGCATACCAATGTCGTCTTTTTCCGACGTCGCAAAATGCGTAAAACAAGCCATGACGTCAACTAAAATGTTGTATTATTTTCAGCAATTTCATTACATTTGAAGATATGGCTAGTACTCTGGTCATAATGATGCAAAATTAGTCAAAATACATCTACACAAACAGGAGAATATGGGAATCTAAGAACTAACTTACATATCGGATAGGGCCATCCAAATCGCTATTCTGCTTTCTCAAGTAGTACATTGCCATCTTTTCTTATAAATTGTGAAACTACCAAAACGTATCCGCTCACATTGGGGAACTTTGTAATGGAATAGGTTGGTTCACCGTGAACACAGCATAACGAAAATATAGCGTCCGTATCCACAACAACTTTTCTCCAATTGATCTGAGTTACATTGACCTAGTGTTAAGCATAGCAGAGTTATATGCCCCCTTATCTTTATACGTGTATGACCTCTCTGTCGTCGTTTGACGTCATAGAAGAAAATCCATTTTTGACATATATTGCGAGTCATTTTTAATGTTGAGCGTATAACGTTATGCATTAGCACATAAACCCAATTCATATACACTTATGTCGTTCAGATATCAGCCTGTTTTTTCTTCACTCACACTTTCCGTAAAGATGCCAAATTAAAAAAATCGTAGCACAGTGCTTTTATCGGTGCGCCATAAACAGCGGAGAAGTTTACTGTTTTTTAACGCATAACAAACATTTGGACAACATTCAGCAAGGTCTATTTCTCAAACCGCCGAGATAGTTGCACTTATATTTATACCAACGAATAGGAAATTTAATATTCCAGTGTTCCCGGTGGTTTTGAAAATTACCGGCGGCTTATGCCGACGGGGTCTGAAAATTCCGGCTGAACTAGTTTTTATCCAGAGAGACAAAGTAATCAGTATTCGTAACGATATACTGTTAATAAATAAAATAAACTTCATATTTATCAACAGTAGGATTAGATCTTTTAAATGGTGTAGCGGATGTAGTAGCAATAACGTTTTACAAGCTTATAATTTCCTTCATAAACATAGGCTCATCTATGACCTCAGAGTCTCTGGGAACTCGGTGTCATGGCAGGAAATGCCTCTGGTTGACTGGTGTTGAAAGAGTTTATATACGTAGTTAACTTATAAAATGAATTTGAAAAATGGTAAATTTGTAAATGTTCCTAACCTCGAATGACGATGATGCAATCATATGGTATCGTATCTGTCAAAACGCTTTAAACGGTAGTTTACCGGTTTGTATTATGTGTATTTATAGACAGATATTACAATACAATCACTCACTGCATGGGTCAAAGAATCATGAAAATACAAAAGCTTGTGTAGCCTAGATATGTATATATGAAGACAAGTAATTGCAGCTGCAGGTGGATTCTGTATAGTAAAACGTAAGGAAAGTATTTCAGATAGACGTTATTAGTTTGACTAAAATGTCACCGCGACTATTTGTATCGATCTTGTTCATACTGATGCAAGGAAAAACAAACAAAATACAATTCTGTTAAAAATTGAAACTCTTAAACTTTATTAAAATTCAAACTGGAAAGTTGCAAAAGAACTTTTATCAGGAATTATTCTCATAAAGCCTGTACTCAAAAGTGCGCCAGTAAGTATCATACTGTCAGTACTATTAGTATTTTAAATGTAAAACTAATTGTTACATGATATCGATCTCTTGGAGTCCAGATTTAAAAGTCTCTTTGTCTGTTGTGTTTCACATGTAACTATCAGAGTTACATAATACAAAACTATCAACGATAAACAGAGGTCTGTGATGAAACCCGACCGAGTGTTCTGGAAGGCAGTTCGCGACCGTGGGTCATCATGCGTGAGCTTAATGGATCTGAAAACTCCATCACTGACGTTGTCAAGGAAATATTGTTCACTAGGACCTGATGAAGTGAGGAGCTCGCTCAACGATTCAATAGAAGCATTCACAACGGGATGAATGCAACCAAGGTTGAGTTCATCCCGTTGGAAGACTGTGATCAGCTTGTCCATGATGTGAAGAACATCCGTTAGCATGTAGCAAAGGGCAACAAAGGAAAAAGTTTTCATTTTTCTTTGAAGGCCTGTTGCTACAGGATTTTGTCGTGCTGTTGCCTCTTCTTCAATTTCCATACATAGTGCTGGTAGGTTGTCTTTGGTAGACTTAACAGCCCGCCCCAAAGACAACCAACGAACACTACATGGCTGTTTTAAGCTAGAGAATTCTGTGTCGCTGAGAACTTGGGACAAATCTCGCAGACGCTCATAACGAACAGCTGAATAGTGATAGAGTTTGTAGATTTCATTCAACGTTTTAGTGAAGTCAGTGACAACCTTTGACATCTTGGCGGCATCGTGGGATGCGAGGGAGACTCTGTGTGCGATACAATGCACATGCACTAAGAACGGACACTCGTCTGTCAACCTCACCCCCACGCCCGACTTACGACCGGTCATCACGCTAGCACCATCGGAGCCAAGACCAACGACTTTGTTGATAGGAATGTTCCATTCTCGAAACACTTCCTTGATCTTGTCTGTGATGGTACTAGCGGTGCCGTCATGCACAGTGTGATTGCCGAGAAAAACAGTATCTGCCTTTCCATAGTTAACAATTCTTAGAAACATGATGAGTATTTTTTCAACTGTGATGCTAACTGTTTCATCAATTATCAAACCCACAAATTTGCTGTTGGCAATGCGACACTTTAAGTGCTCAATTGTGCTCGTAGCTAATGCTTGTTCAATATCTTGTACTGAGTCACCATGGCTATACACAAGACCGCTTAGGGCCGAACATTTGTTGTTTTTTTGCAAAGTTATCAAGGCGTTAAACTTGTTTGCAGCAATGTTCTCTTGTGCCATCGTAAGCACTGTGTTGCACATCGCAGTGAGACTGTCATCATTCTTCTCACTCTGGGCTTTCTGGCACGCAAGCGTCCTCGTGCTTTAACTATAATAGTTCAGGGCAAAAGTGTGTTTTATTACACTATACATGGTGGTAGAGCGAAGTGTATTTCTTAATTAAAGTGACGCCAGTCGTAGCGCTCTATAGACCATTCTTAATGAGGCCTCATGAATATTCATACCTGTACCAAAACGAGGCTAAATGGGGCAAGGACACAATCGCATAATGGCGACAAATCTCAATGTATACTTCCTGGTTTCAAATTTCCCTTGAACGGTACATTACGAAACTGTCCAGTAGTTCGGGGAAATCGCAGAGAAATGGGAAAGGGCTACACAAATGTTTCTGTAGCATATCCACGGATTGAAGGGTGAATAATTACTGTACATCACGACACATCACGATAAGTCATATGACCTAGATATCTAGGTTAACGTTTACCATGTTGCGCAGCATTTATGAAGGGAAGCTACTCTAAAGTCACAATAGTGGAAATATTACCAAGGGAAGTCAATTACGTTTACTTTATCAACATATGAACAAAGCAAAAGACTCAACGTATTTCCTGACCTGGATTCAAATCATCCACTTCCACATGGGAGTAGTGTTGTTAATTCTTGAGCTGGACAATCGAGATTATAAGTAATATGTAGATCAAGATAGCTCTCCTCGAGTGGATCTGGACCAAACAAATTTGTTTGTATTATTCATGTGATGAAATTATTTGTTTGGTATTTTTTCTGTTTAAAATGTTTTGTCCTATCGACTCTGTTTTATAGATATAGGGTATTTATTCACGCATTTATTTTCAGTTGTACAGGACTAGTGGTGATGGCGATGTGCGCGTAGCTGCATGTTACAATCGCAGAGGAAAAACGAATCGCCACATCATCATGTAGAAACTATTTATTTCAATCAACATGAGTGGGACCAGAGACCATATCTATTATATGGTCTCTGGTGGGACACAATGTGCAAGACAAAACTGGATGATTTTTTTCAAGTTTTTTCTTGACTGATTTGGAGGTGAATAATTAATTTACCTAAATGGACAAGTGGTACCTGCATGGGGAATATTTGAACCAATTTTCAATACTGTGTTACTATACCATAAAATTGATTTATTGTAGATCAGGTGTATTTATTCTGTACCACTGTAACTGAAGACATTTTTAAGGAGAACATATCAGATTAACATAACAGGATTCACACTACAGCAAACAATTAACCCAAATAAGTAACGAACACCTGGAGTGCAGTTAATAAACATTTATTTTGAAATGGTGTCTTAAAAGTCCAATAACAATAGACACATTCACAATAGCTTCCAACTGTAATACTGATGAATAACAATATAATTTCAGAGGATGCAACTTGAAAATATATTGGGTGCAATATTTATGTTGATAGAAGTATCCTTTTAGATTAGTCTGACATAAATGGCAACAACTACAGCTGGATCAATGCATAATTTATCATAGTTTTCTCCCCTTACACATTATCATAATCTCTTACCAATGAATAATGTTTTTTTCTGATTCCCAACTAACTCTTTTCAAACAGGATGAAATACATTCTTTTTCATCAATTATTAATTAAACAGCAGCAAATGAGTTACATCTACAACTATGCCATTATGAAAGACCTTTCTATTATTCAGTTAAATCCATCACTGTGTATGTATTACAGCTGTCTCTTTTTTCATCCATCATTTACACAACACAAAAGCACCAAACAATTTCATTTACATTCATGTCTGTCAATTTTTGTGCTGTTTGGGCAAGGTACTTCACAAACCTGGAAAGATATTCAACAAATGAAAAAGTTCCAGCTAATCAGTGCCAATGTTTGAAATGATGGAATACTGTAAAATGTTCAATCAATTTTTATCATCATACATGAATTTACAAACTCCAAACTTTTCAAGTTCAAGTTTTCTGTTCAATTTTTCTATTTTGTCAACCTTTTCCTTGAGTTGCCTCCCCTGTTCATGCAAGTTTTGCTGGAGTTGTTCCATGTAGGACTGGGGGTCAGTGGCTGCTGTATCACTCTCTGCTTCACTGTAATATAAGCATTGTAAAGCATCACTATTATCTCTTCAACCACACAAACAATAAATATATCTCTGGAATTACAAATATACATCAAGGAATAGAGGCTAACATCATTTCATATTTTAGACAGTAAGGGCAATCAATATTTTTATATGTAAATAACATAGCATATAGGTCAAAGTTCAGTTGTATTAAATTCTTTAAAACCATGTCAGTTGGCAAAATTAACTTAATACGATCTGACATTCTTACTGTATCTGAGATGGTGACTGTGGTAGATTCCTTATGGGAGGTTCCTGAGCTGGTGACATGCTCTCTGACTCTTAATTAGCACCATCTGAAATGGATATTTAAACACTAAATATATTTCAGTTGTTGTAATTAGATTGTCCAGTAATATGTCCTGTATCCCTGAAGTACTGGTCAGTATGCAGTAATTTTGAAAGTAGATACATATTTAAGATTTTTTTAACAGCATGTGTATGTCCTGCATGTACAAATGTATATGTACTTGAAATGTTACTTTGATGTGCAGCCAATCTAATTTCACGGATACAGAATATTTGCAAATAAAATTCCCTTGCCATCATGACAAGAGTGTCTGCACATGTCCATATGCTTAATTTTTTTTAATATATTGGACCGTTCATAATTTATGACTAGGGGGGTGATGATGATTTTAGGTGCGGTGTTTGCGGGGGTTGGGGTGTCTTCCAGTTTGTTTTGGGAGGCAGGGGGAGGGTCAATTGTGTACATATGAACTAGGGGGGTGATCACTGATTTTGAACAAGACAATGTGTGTGTGTGTGGGGGGTTTGAATGTGTCTGTGTGTGTGTGTGTCTGACATTCACATTGTACATGTGCCCCTGATATTAAAACCTTGCATAGTGAACAGTTTGTACATTACACGGCAGATCTAGACTATGCCATGTGCCGTCATTATTTTGTACTTACTATGAATCATTTTCCAGGATCTCTCCGTATTTTCGTCAACCACTGCCTTCTTCTGATCTTATTCTTGGGAATATGGTGAAAAGATACCGTAAAATCCTTACGGGCATCACTCCAACGCAAAGGCACACAGCAGTAATCTTTCCTTTTCGAGGTCGCCATTTTCAAGGTTGGGTCAACCTATTTAAGCCTCGCTTTCGATTTGACCTCGAGGTCATGCATATTGGCTAAGAATGGTCTATATTTACTCCACCTACCCAGCAGACGTAAGCCAGGCGTAGCCCTGTAATGGCGGTACTGGATGCCGAATTTTTTATCAGGCGCACATTTTCAAAAGGTTTGAAAAGTGAACGTTGTGCGAGAATTACGCTCGGGTGGTCCTGGATCTGCGTACGGCTATAAAATTACACAGAAATGTAGAATATTTAATTTCCTATCCGTTGGTATAAATATAAATTTAGTAAGCGTACGCTTAAGTTGTGGTGATTTAATCTTTGAAAGGTAAATTTCTGTATTAATACAATATTTATATTCTGAATAAAAGTTGACACAGGTTGATGACGTTATTTCATTATACCAGTCCTGTTGGTAAATGTCTTTGCATCTCTGCTTGAATATTTTGATGAAATATTGTGTATTACTTACATTTTGGGCGATCCATACATTTCCAAAGCCATGACTAAAAAGAATAGTTCTAACGAATGAAACCCAATTAATATCTCCGGTATCATCTAGTGTTTTAAGCATTTCATAACTACATCTTGAATATCGTGAAATTGGTTGTCTCATCAATCTTAGCCAATATGAAATAACCCGACATCGGGCGTTAATAAACAGTGGAAAACGTCCACATTCAGCTAAAATAACCTTGTTCGCAGTTCTGTAGCCAACACGCAACAAGAACTTACAGAACTTTGAATGTACCTTTTCAATATTCTTGTTTATGTTAATGCCCCATATTTCTGAGCCGTACAACAAAATTGGTTGAATTTTTCCATCAAACAGTTTAAATGATGCATGGATCGGTAATTCTTTATATTTGCATATGAATTTCTTTATGACATGTAGGGCTCGAAAATATTATACCTAAATATTTGTAATATGACACCACCTCCAATTTTTGGCCATTAAGGAACCATTTTTCACTTTTAGAGATTTTACCCCCATTTTTAAAAACCATTACTTTAGTTTTACTAATATTTATCTGAAGACCCCATTTCAAACAATATTCATTTAGAGTATCTATCTTGCATTGTAACTGGACAACAGAATCGGCAAGAATCACATCATCTGCAAATAGCATTATTGCAAGATCTCTGATATGTTCGTTAATAAATACACCTCTCGTATCATTTAATAACATTTCCTTAACAAGTTCTTCAACATATAACAGGAAAAGTACAGGTGATAGAATGCAGCCTTGCCTCACTCCGGCATATGTATCAAATATATCACTCATTTGAAATTTACTGGTTCTAACAGATGCTCTCACATTGGTGTACATATTACGTAAAAGACGTTGGAGTTTGCCATGTATACCTGACTGTAGTAGTACATATAACAGTTTTGACCTATTAACGGAATCAAACGCTTTCTTAAAATCTACGAAAAGACAATAAAACTTCCCCCCCCTTTCTTCCGCAGATATTTATGGATAATACTGTTGAGAGTAAATATATGGTCCGTAGTTGAATACTCTTCTCGAAATCCCGCTTGGCACTCAGATAAAAGTTCACGAGTGGAAATCCAAGCCTTAATGCGATTATCTAATATAGTGGTAAATATTTTGTTTAGTGTATTCAATGATGCAATACCTCTATAATTGTTTGGATCACCCCTTTCACCAGACTTATGCAGAGGTACAATTAAACCTACATTCCAGGAATCTGGAAAAACGCCGCTGTCTAGAACTCGATTAAATAGACTATTCATAAAAGGAAGCAATAAAGAA